GTGGAGTTGGGATGGAGTTTGGTGGCTGGAGGAGGCGCTTGATGGGTGACAGCGGGGTGCGGGTGCGTGGGGAATGAGGCGTGCGGGCTGGGAAAAGTGGGTGCGGCACTGAGGAACGGGCCGTTTCACAGAACTGCTTATTCGGAGACTACACCGGTTTTGCTATGGTGACATCAGCATCTGTTCTTTGGTTAATTACACTCATCCTCTTGATTTTAAGGAAAAAAGGATGAGAAACTGCTGTGCTTTCAAAAGTACAATTTTTAAACCAGGAATCAGATTTGAGGCTGGGCAGCTCGTCGTGAAATCCTAACTGCAGCATGAGTCTGTAATGCGTTGCTCTGTCTTGGTTACTAACTGTACATCCTGAGGGCATAAATGCAGTGCTAGCTTCTGGTAAGGTGACGATAGAACAGGGGATTGAGGTGGAAGGCAGCAGTGGCCTTGCTGCATGATGTATCTGTGATGATGGTACAAGTTTCTTGCCTAAATTTATGCATGCGGTCAGCGTAATGGCCCCTAGACATTAAAGGGTGCAACTTGTGCACCTACACCAAGAAACAAATGGCATTTCTATCAAACGAGATGTCGTTTTGGTGCACTTAATTAAAAATACTGGGTGTTTATTGGAATCAAAGTATCTCTTCTAATCACCAGCATCACCTTAATGTTCTTTTTATAAAAAGGCAAAGCCCCAAATGTTCAATTCTGAATGCCTAAAGCAGAACTTTTTTCTTGCGTAGACACCAAAATATAATGTATTCATTGCCACAGGTGCTGCATGATCCTAAATGTCACATCAACTTAGTGTTCTGTACAAATGCAGAGGTTCTGTTGGTATAGGATTTCCAAAAGAACTGACCCTAAATATTGATTTAGGATCTTACTCTAAAGTATCTGTATTTGGTTTACTGTGATGGAAATAAAAAAAAAAACCCAACAAAAACACTCTGTAAAAATTAACTTTAGTGGTGGTCTAGCAAATAAATTACATGCTTCCATTATGAGCACATATTTAATATCTACACACCTAAGGCTGGACAGCGTGGACTTTGAAGAAGACTGGCACAAGTGACACAGAAAGTGCTAGTCCGCAGCCTGGAGAGTTTTAAGAATAATTTATAGCCAAAATTGTGTGCTTTCCCTGTAAGTAGGGGGCCTGTCTGCACTGCAGGTGGGCCAGCGTTTGAAGCTTGGATTCTAAGGTGGTAGCTGCCTCTGAAAGAAACTGTGATAAGTGGTTTGCTGCATCCTGCAGTTGTGATGCTGTGCTTCCAGGTACCTGGGACAAGGTATGACGTGTTCCTTAAATTCAGTGGGTCAGAAATGTAAAATGGAGCTAAAATTTTGCCTGTCACAAGGGATGATTTCAGATGTAGCCATAAAAGTAAGAAAGAAGCTACTTTAGTGGTGTCTGTTTTGGGTCAGTTCAGGAGAAGGTATTTCTAACTACTTTGCATTTACAGGGGGGCAGAGACCTCATGTGCAAGCGGTTACCACAGAGCAGTTAGAAAGGCGTTTGATAGCATTTTCAGTTATTTCAACAGTTCTAACTTGCTTTGCTCTTGTGTTTTGTTTTTTTTTTTTTTTAATCTTGCCTCTTAATAAAGTCTACCCTGAGGACAAGGACTTGAACTTAAGCAGGGTTTGGATCTTTATTTTCTCTCTCCTGGGGTACTTGCCCTCTGGCTCATAGTAGTTTTCTAGTCATTCTTCAGAATCCTGGTATTGAGCATGTGCTTATTTTATACAAATAGGGATTAGATTTTTAGTACAAAACCATCTAGGTAACTCTTTTCCCTACGGGTTGAAAAATTATTAATACTGGTACTTAAACAGCATCGAAAGCCAGAGGCAAATCTAGCTGCATGCAGAGCCTGGTCATTACAGGTTTTGATGCTTGCAGAAGAGGTATGTTGCAAAAATTAATTCCTTGTGTTGCTGGTTTTATTTTTTCCAAGAAGTGGATGTCAGATGGTGGAAAGGTTTTTGGATGATGTGTTCTGCCCTTTTGATCAGGTGAAGTTGGAGGCTTGCCCTAGTGAAGCCAGAACCTTACACAGCAAGGAAAAGTGGAAAGACCATATGTTGTCTAGATTTGGTAGAGCTGTAAAGTAGTGTTTTCCACCAGGCCTAATGGGGTGCCAACAAACAAAGGCATAGTTGGAGATAAAGATTGTACTTGGATTTTTATAAGAAGTTGTAGATAAAGTTCCTAGGTAAAGGGAACATTGTAATAGAAAATCTAAATCTAAAATGATCCTGTAAGTTCTCAGGGTTGGTTAGGAAAAAATACTCTTATCTGATTAAAAGCACCAATCTGATGTAGTGAAGGTGTCATTGGTGGTTCCCATGATGGACCTGTGAATCCAGAATGTTTGTCATCAGTTCGGCTGAAGGAAGCACAGAGACTCATGAAACAACCCCCACAAGCAAAGCTGGGAGGTATTGAGACAGCTTGTGCTCTGTGTGAAAGCATTTTTTCCAGCTATTCAGCTGGAGAGGGCTCGCAAGAAGACAAAGGATCTCAAAAAATAAATGTGATTAGGTTAATTCAGAGGAAACTGCTTTAGAGTTCTAAAATGCTTTAGAAACTGTGTGAGATTTTAGACCAGTACTTTTCCCTGACTCTTGGCAGGAATTGTACAGCAATCCTGGTCTGCGTTTGCAGACAGGTAGCTGTCATTTATCACTGGAATGCCTTCACCATGGCATGGGTGGAAGTTGTAAAGTAAATTACCCCTCTAGAAACTTCACACTTGCAAAGATTTCTAGTGTGCAGATAGGGCTTGTGTGTACCAGGTAAGCTGTGTGTTCTACTGAATTCCTTTGGTTTTGCCCTGGCTAAAAGCATTATTGTTCTGTGGTGTAGCATGATTTCACTGGTGGCTGCTGTTCATCGTCATTTTATTTCTTTGCCAAAGACTTGTACATCTTTGAAGGATGTTCAGCTGGCTGCTGAAAGTTTAACTGAAACAATACATTTTCATCAATTTAAAGAATTTAACTTTAGTTAGTTGAAGAACTTTGAGTCATTTATTGTTTCAGAAGTCTCCGTGTAAAGAAAAGGAACACGTGATACTATATTAACAGATTGTAACTAATCTGAGGTAGCCTTAACTTTGCATTTGTCTTTTCTGTGAAATTCTGTCTGCCTCTGTGAGCTTTCTGTTCCCTCTGAAGTACTTTTATTTAAGATTAGCGTTACTTAGTATGTTTCTGAAATGTAGCAAAAAGACTTTCAGCTGGGGCTGATTTGGCTGTGGGTTATGTAAAGTGAAACCTTCATATTTTCTGAAGTCTTTACTGTCCCCACTGTAAGAAGAGTTTTGGTGGTCTAGTAATTACAACCACAGTGTGCTGCAGTGCTCTGGGGCTTCTCATTTCTTTTGCTGTGAAGAAAAGTGTTGAGCCAAGATCTTACATACTTCTACACAGAGTAGATTTCTACATATTGTTTTTTTTTATATATATATATGTATTTTGTTGAAGACTGGTGATGTCCTCTTTCTGTTTTAGTCCATGAAGGCAGCCCACTGGGAGAACTTCATCGCTGTGTCCGAGATGGCGTAAAAATCAATGTCCACATCCGCACTTTCAAAGGGCTTCGTGGAGTCTGCACGGGGTTTTTGGTTGCGTTTGACAAGTTCTGGAATATGGTAATTATTGTTCCAGCCCTTGATTTATAACTGCTATATTGAAACCTTGAAATTTGCAACAGGTTTAAGCAAACTGCATTTTGAGAATATTGATGTGGTACTGTGGTTCATAAAGCCAATTTGCTCTGGCACTGAGTGTGGGGCTTCAGACATAAGTGGTGCTTGGTGTTGGATTGGTACGTCTGAGAGGTGCCTCGCCATGAGAGAGAAGCTTTGAAGAGTTCCCAACATCTTCAAAGATTTTGTATAAGAACCCAGGAGGATGGAATAATAGGAATATCAGAAGCTTCCAAACCTTTCTCTGCAAAACCCAGTCGTCTTATAGTGGTAGCCACTTCTCTGTTTTCTTTCACTAACATGTCACTGGGATGTCAGTGACAACAGCTTTTCCCTGTGTTCTACCTCATGAAGATCTTAAAAGACAGTGGATGGAAAAGCAGCTGTTAAAAGCAGCTATTAAAAGAGCTGTGAAAAGTTTGGAAATGGGGGTGAGGGGGAAGGATTTTTCAGGCAAGGCTGACAAAGATTTTGCAAGTAATGCAGAATGGATGCTAGGCTTTGCTGTTGCTTTTATACCTCAGTACAACTTAGATGATTAAGAAACCAGCTCCAAAGCACAGCTTGTTCTTAGGATGGATTTTCTTCCAGATAGAACATAATTTCATAATGCTGTGACACAAAGCTGGTACAAAGCTTTTTCATGTTTTCTTTTAATTTTCTTTTAATTTTGACCTTTCCATTTCTTTTATCTTCTTCTAGGCCCTGACAGACGTAGATGAGACATACAGGAAACCAGTAATGGGCAAAGCTTTCTATGCAGAACCTCAGCTCACACTAACCCGGGTAGGTAACCTTCTCCAGTTTTATTTATTATTTTTTTTTTACTATCTCCTTTTTCAAAGTAGTAAAAGGGGAACATTGATTGGAAAACTATATTTACATTTGAAATCTTTTACCTCCTTTTATTACAGGTGACTCTAAAATGACTTGAGCTGGGGAGAAAAAAACCCACCAGTTTTCTGACCTTTTTAAAAGTACTTTGGCCATAGTTCAGTGTTACAGAAGTTCCACTTTAGAGCTCCTACTATTAGATCACAGTCGCTGCTGCTGCTTAGAGCAATATGCTGACTCTGTAGTTTTAATTTATTTGTTCTGTGCGTTTTTTGCACACGTGGCGGATCTGGGCCACATTTGTCCTGCCAGGTGATTTGGCAGTGCCTAACTCTGATACTAATGTTCATGGAGTGACAGTCTTTGTCTCCAGCCTACAAAACAGTACGTCTGTTTGGTCACTTGAACTTCTAGTCTAGGTACTGTGAAGCCAAAGATTCTGCATGTTGCACCAAAGCAAGACGCTCTCTAGGATCCAGCTGCAAAAAAAGATGTGTATGAAGTTGAGAACTGAAGAGATGATAGATGAACTTCGGAACAATGAAGGAGAAAAAAAAATGTGAGGGCTGTGCCTGTTGAATGCATAGCTCTGGGCCTTTTGAACATCAGAGAAGCATCACAAAAACTTTCAAACAGGTTTCAGTGTGAGGAATTTGCTTTCAAATTCCTGCCATTTAAATCTGTTTTCTGATAGATCTCACCCTTCCTTTTTTAAAGATTAGTTAAAAATATCAAGTTGTCATTGTTCCTTTAGCCCACTCTCACAGGGACTGGCTTTCCATCCTGTTGCTCGGAAGAGACAGGCTAAACGGGAATCCTTTTCATTTGTCAGTATGTCATAAAAGCTTGCCTGCTGCCAGAGTAAAAGGAGTTTCTTTTCCAGTTTCAGCACCATGTATTCTTAGATTAATGAGTTCTTACAGTGCTTTGGATCTGTTGCTCTAGCTTTTATTATTTTTCTATTGTTTGTGGTCTGCTCACCTCCCAGAATACCCACACAACATCTTCTAGTTTATTTTGGGGGAACACAAAAGGTCCCTAATTTTTTCAGTATACACTCTTTGCTGATTGAGGCCCCTTATCTTAGGGTTTCATGTCCTGCCTGAGGACAGGAGGATGGAAGTCTCTCTAATACTATGTGACAACATGACAAGAGCATTGGGGAAAGTGAGCTAATGGAGCAACTTGGTAGCTTTCTGTTGTTCCTGACCAAAGTTAATTGCTACTGCACATCACTATTGCTCCCCAAATTAAATTCCTCAGTGCTCGCATGAAGACACTTACGTGCATGCAAGAGGCCTATCCACCTTATATCACTGTTTAACTTTGGCAAGAAAACATAGTCTTTACTGCTGGTAAATGTTCTTCACTAATTGTCTATTGTGAGCTCTGATTTGGGATCGTATATGCAAATACCACGTAGAAATGCTGAACAAGCAGCCTCTCTTGTTTTATGAATGTGGTCATGTACACAAATGTTCTTTTGCAGCTGTTTGACAGACTCAAACTGCAGGAGTCCTCAGTAAAGAAGGGAGCTGACTCAAAGACTGTCTCAGAGGAACTAGCCCTGACAAATGACTCTCATACACTGGGACTGAAAGTTGGATCAGGACGAGGGAGAGCAGAAGATGAGTGCGAGAGGCAGAAACGCTTGGGCAGAGCTGGAGAAAAGAAGATGCCAGGTGACAGTTTGCATCTGGCTGCCAGAGGTGAAGCTGATGTGGGTAGCGGGACTGCCCACACAGAGGGTGCCAGTGCTGGTGGTAGCCGTGCAAGAAGCCAGTCACGGAGAAAAAGGCGGCCCAAAGTGGATTATCAACAGGTGTTCACACGTCACATAAACCAGATTTTTATTCGAGGAGAGAATGTCTTGCTTGTCCATTTAGCACATTGACTTGGCTGAGCCTTCGTCAGTGTATTTATTTGATAGCATGAATTGCCGCTGCAGCTCTCATTGCTATTTAGCGTTCCCATTAAGTGTGATGGTACTGTGACTAGTTTCCCATTGCCATAACAAGGTAGGGGAAGTAATTCTAACTGGAGCATCCTGAGCTTGATGCCAAAGCAGCCTCCTTAGATCTCTCTTGGGGGTCTCAGGACAAGGTCAGCGACGCAGTGGTTTCTGTGAAATGAGGGAGTTCAGCACAGATCCCACTGCTCTTTAAAAAGAAGCTAAATGGAGAGGGTTGCGAGAGAATTTTGGCATACTTGGTTATAGGAACTAATTGTGGCGCACACTTAAGGAGTTTAAGATTAAATCTCCACCTGAAATAATCACAAATGCTATTTTGCATGTTCTGAGTAATCTCAAGAGAAGATTGCTAATGAAACCAACAGTTTATCTGCTGTTGTTACATGGATGTCTTCTTTTCCAGACATAATTCTGACAGTCATTTTGAAATAGTCTATAAAAAGGTGGAGTGACATACTACTGATGGCTGTTAGCCTCTTCTTCAAAGTTAGCTCTGTAATGCCCTTTGTGATAGAAAAACTCTCTATTGAAAACTGCTCTTTTTTTGTGAATGATAGCAGGACTTTAATTTGTTTTCAGTATCAAAGCTTAGGCTTCTGTTTGTAATGCTGTGCTTAGCCTTGTGTCACCAGCCAGCAGCTACTGTAGCTGATCCAGGCATCTCCATATTTGGAGTTTGTCTGTGAATTTTGTGGATGCAGATGGAAAATTGTACTTTTACATTTCACCCATTCGCTACTTAGTGTAATAGAGAAGTTTGCAAAGATGTAGTTTTTCTTCTCAGATGTGTTTGTGCTGAGCACAATTGTACTGTATCTAAGCGCCTTTCAAGTTCCCTCTATTGAAACTAGAGGTGCTGTGTCTCCAGCCGTTCTCATGGAGCAGAAATCTTCATGGGTCTTTCCTATCCGTATGAATGATGCATCATCTCATTCCAGTTGAACTGAGCATTGGAGGTATGCCTAAAAATGTTTTGAAGTATAAAAGTCAAACTCAGCTTATCAGTGGTTTTATTTTATCAAGGTTGTTAAGCTACTGTAGATCAGGCCAGGATTCTGCAGGTATAAATGGCTTTCCAAGAGAGCTACATGCAGAGGTTTAAGGATAGATGAAGCTGTTATATTATCTAGTCGGTTCCCTTAGTTGTCAAAGGACACTAGATTTCACACTGCTATTCCTGTATCCATCTCAACTACCTTATGCTTTGCAGCATCTCCATGTGTTTAAGATGAAGTTGGGAAATTGCTTTATAGCAGGTCTTGTATTGCATATAGAGGTCATAAGTCCTCAAACTGAGTGACTGTATGCTCAGTGACATATATTTCTGTTGCTGCAAATGCAGCATACTGCTTGCTTGTTGTTAGGGGTATGTCTGGTGTTTGGGCGAATTACAGAAATCATTTAGCAGAAGTTCTGGACACAAAGCAGCTGTGCCCCTCTCAGAAAGTGCAAAACTTCTGTCAATATTTCCCATGACATGGGATTTAGATGGCTGATCAGCTCAGCCACTGAGCTGCAAAAGTTCAGCTTCCACAGTTCAGCCTGGGAGAGAGGTGCCTCAGAATAAAAAGTATTGTTGAGGCAAAACAGTTTCATCAAGAGCGCAAAAAAAAAAGGAAAAAAAAAAGGGAATAATATCTACAGTTTCTTATTATACATAGCTTTACTGCTGTAATCCCTTCCTACTATGAACTGAGACTAGGCACCGAAAAGTTTCTTCTCTTGGAGGTTCTTGTTTCCTCTCCTTTTGTGCTGTTCTTGTTTGTGTTCATGTGGTCTGCAGTTCTTCCTTGTTATTTCCCCCCTTCTTCTCCTGTCACTACTTTGTCTCCTCAGGACGTTCTGAACTCTGGTTTAGGAAGATTGTTCTTGTGTTCACCCCTAGTTGTCCTGGCTTTCTGAACCTTTCCTGGTTGGCTTTTATGTGCTTGCCAACTAACCAGAACCCTCACAAATTATTAGAAATGTGTGAAGCTAGAAACAAGGGGCTAATTTCTGCTCCTGACTTCTCAGCAGCTTTCGTTGCAAGTGAATAATTTTTCTTCATTGTGCTTTTGGTTGTGGCTTGGTTTTTTCCCCCTCTCCTTTTTGACTGTTTTGTTTTTATTTCAGTTGCTTGGGATGACTTATCTTTGCCTTTTCCATTCATACCAAAGGCTACTGGTTTTGACCTCTTCTCTTTCCTTCATACTTGACCAAAGGGTGTCAGATCTCCTCTCAGGCCTATGTACTATGATATCTAATTGAATTCTTGCTTTTCTTTACCTCATACTCTTAATTCTCTTTGTCTGCCTAGTTTATACTGCCATGTGCATTAAATAAGATAAAACTACCATGAATGTTCTTGTGGCTGTACTGCCCTCTTTCCTTGCCAGTTGATACTTCACAAAGTTCTCAGTTGCTACTAGAAGTCTCAGTGTTTCCTTTCATCAGAAGTTTTTCTCTGAAGCCTTGCAGGTGTGTTTGCTTCACATCTGCAAGTTTCCTTTTTTATGTTTTATGAAAAATGCTGGTGCTTAGACTTGCATTTGTGCCTTGATTTTTTTATATCATCAGTGACCTGTTCTTCCAAAATTATCACCTCAGTCAACAAAACTGGTTAAGAACTATACAGTTTGTCTACTTTTTTTGCTCTACCTCATTATTAAACTGTTCCTCCTCTATTCTCATTGTTGTCTCATCTGTGGAGTTTGTTAAAATTCTCTCTTCCAATTTAGATTTAATGGCTTATTTGATTTTTGTTTCCTACTTCCCTATCCACCTATCTCATTATTTCCAAGCTGCTTCCTAAATACAGTCTCTTCTACAATTTCAGATCTTCCAAAATGCCTTCCTTTTCCCAACTTTTTCTGACATTGTATCTTTTTAAAGCTTATTATCAAAGTGCTATTTGATGAATTTTCTCTCTTCCAAGCATAGCATTTGTGATTTTGTCTGTTTCAAGCATTATGATTTTGACTAAGCAAGTGATCCTCTGTGTGTGTTGTCACTTGCATGTTTAATACTTCAGACAAAGTTGCTCTTTAAATAAAATTGAATGTGATGTTCTGAAATGAAGTTTTCTACCTCACTTAAGTATGCATGTAAATCTGTTTAAAAAAAAGAAAGAAAACAACCCTTGGAAACAAATGAGCTTTGTTTTTTTTATTGTTTCTAGTTCTTTCTTTCCATGTTTTTCCTGTTCCAAACTCAGCATAAAATCCAGTTTCTTTGTTCAAAAAGTTGTCTGCTGCCAGTCTTTCCTCTATTGCTGCAGTGTCACAAAGATGGTGTGAGCACAGACACCTGAAGTCATTATGCTAAAGAATGAAGAGTAGGAGCAGGAGGCAATCTTAAGAAATAGAGCGCTGTGTGACAGTGAAAAAGCTTTGGGCCAAATATAAAGAACTCTCTGGAAAGAATCCACATACTGGTTGCAACCTGTCCAGTATTTCTAGGACATTGTTCAGCCTGGTGGTCAGCAGTGATTCCTAAAGCATGTTTATGGTGAGGTACTGAATTACTGCAAGGAGTGGTGTTCTGACCTACCTTTGAAGAATTGTTGTGATAATTTGAGAATTTTTTAGAATAATTTCAAAAATAGCAGACAGATATGAAACTTGTGAATGTTATAATGCCAGCTGCAGAAATGGTGTAGTCCAATAGTCTTGCAACGTGATGTCACAGATACATCTCACAGTATATATCTCACATCATATATCTTTTAATTGCCAACACAGTTCAGTAGGGAGCCAAGTCTCATCGTTACTTTAAGAGTGGCGATTTTATTTGTACAGTGATATGATTCTAGGGACCTCTGCAGATAGTCTGAATGGCATTTTCATGGAACCACAGCATAAAACCTTGCCATGCTGTGGGGATGCGGGGAAGCTGGTAGGGGGAATCGGGCCGAGAGCTGCAGTGTTACCCTGCGGTTCTGGGTATTATGCTGGGATTATTTCTTGGGAAAGTCTTTTGCACAGGTGCTTCATTTTTATCAAACACTTCTTAAACAGGGCTGTGGTAGTAGAATAGATAAGGCCAAAGGGAAACTAGGAGCTTGTAAAAAGTGTGGGTTTAGTTCCTTTTCTCAACTGATTTGTCCAGCTTGTTAATTGCCTGGAAGTGTTTTTTTTTCTCCCCTGGTCTAGAGACAGATACTTCTTAGCATGTCCTCACCAGGTGATTATGGAAATAGTTGGTGAGTACTGTTTTCCATCTGCTTTGTGTCCTTTGGTTTCTGGATTTATTGTTTCTGATGCAGCTTTCCCTTCCATATCAATTGGAAGCAGGGCAGGGTCTCTCACCAGGAGTAGGCTTGACTGCCCACTGTTTTTTTCCCCCTCCCTAAGGAATGTTACCCCGTCTAGTTTTGCATCTATAAAGCCTTTGGCTATTCTTGATTTTCATACTGTTCTCTGCAGACTTTTGGAATTATTTGGTCAGTAGAATTACTTATCAAGTGTTGGTTGGAGGAAACTGATTTTTTTTTTTTTGTTTGTTTGTTTGTTTGTTTGTTTTTTGTTTTTTTTTTAGTTTACTTTCCTTCCCACAGTGCTGGGGTTCGCTGTGGCAGTCCCCCACTTGCACCTATGAATCACCATGGGTGAAGAAGTGTCTGGGAAAAAAGAAGCAGAGAAAAAAGATGTCTAATTTTTGTTGAATTTGATATTCTGTCAAACATGGTGCTCACACCCTTTCTGTTGCTTACTGGTACTGACCTAAATGAGACAGGTGGAAACAACAAATTTATCCAGAATGTTGAAAGAAAATGGAAAAGCAGCAAGGACAGCAAACTGTGAAAACACTCTGAGTTTCTGAAGATGTGTATCTCCAGGTAAACTTCCTGTCTTTTGATTAAACAGATCAGAATTATAACCAGTGTATTAAACTGCAAGCTCTGCAACTGAATAAAATTGGAAGGCACAGTACTACACGCTTTT